CCATTTCTTGTTCAATTAATATTTGTAATTATGGATATAAATACGGATAAGGGAACGGATTTACATCATGATCGAGTTGATTCNGGATTGAGATATTGGTAGATTTGTAATTTATTTTTTTTCATTCTCAAATTTATATCTAATTTATTTTTTTTCATTCTCAAATTTATATCTAAGTATAAATGGAAATATTATACGAAACTTTTTAATAATTGAAATTACTATTTCAGTCCGAAGTTTTTTTTCTTTGTTTACCATATTCCACTAAATTGCATAATCTAAATTATTAGATCTTTTTTAACAGCAATTTAGTTTATACATTCTTTTCGTAAACTATCTTTAATTGGCATAAAGGAACGTGAGCTCAAGACTCGAAGAAATTTAAAAAACAATAAATAAGACAGAAAGTTGAGTTGAGGGAAAAAAAAAACAAAGTGACATTGAACAGTATATTGCCACCTTATTACACAACATAAAATACTTTGTTCCGTACAAAGTTTCTTAATAGTGACTTGTCTTTTGTCAATGGGCCTCTAGAGTATGCCCACTAACCAAAATTAACCCATTTATTTAGAGCTTAATAGCTGATTAGTTATATTGATTGACCCATTAAATGTTTCCTCAGGTTCTTCAGCTCAAGGAACAACTCTATGATGCCGAGAGGGAAATCCAAAGATTAGCAGAAAAAGTAGAAGGAGGCTCAAGTAACAGTCCGAATTCGTCCTCGGTTTCGGTCGAAGCCAACGAAACACCGTTTTTCGGAGACTATAAAGTGGGAGACGACGGTGACGACTATGATAACATGTTTTATCCGGTGCCGGGAAACAGTTACATTGATGGAGTTGAATGGATGAGTCTATACATGTGAAATTACTAGCTAATGGAATATTTATTTTTAATCAATCAATTAGTATCTTAAATTAGGGAAGGAATATTTTTAAGTAAATTGAATAGATTATATAGCTGTTGAATATCTAATGTACATATATTAATGACGATGGGCTTCTGTTCTCGCTAATATATTAATGTGCTTATTTTTATGTTAGCAGCAATGCTTAAGCAGATTTTGAGCCACTTTGTTTGACATTATTAAATCTGAAAATAAAACATGTATTACTTAGGTTAGGCTAATTTGGGTTTTCACCTATTCGTGGAAAGTACTAAGACATGCCCTAATTACGATACACAAGATCTATAGCCTAATAGCTGTTGGTTTTCATTTTTCAATAGTAAGTTTTTCATTTAACAAAAAAAAATTGTTACAAAAGAAAAAGAAGTATGTAATGCGCGAATATTTTTAAGTTTTTTTTTGTATATTATAAAAAATAAAGGACTATGACACATGCACATGTAGATGATACAAACAAGACAGTTGTTAAAACTTTTGATATTGATAGATAAGACTTAACCAAATTTAAATATAAAGAGGTGTTCGGATAAAACATAACTTATTTTGGTAGAACATTATCGGTCAACTGTTATAGGCATAGCTCATTTGAAAACTAATGGGTAAACCTTATCTTATGGTTAGAGGGCTTTTCATATTTGCTCTATAATAAATGTATTCAGTATTCATCATTATTGTAAGTGATATGATTCGCATGTATAAATTGAAAGTTTCCTACTATTAGTTATAAAAAAAGGGATTAATGTAGATTAAACAATCATCTAGTTTTATAAGATCCGTTCATTTGTCCCAATTTAAGTGGGCTACATGTATTTTCTATGAGCACTTTTTGCTTCAAGTGTTGTTGGTGACATTTATTCAAAAAAATGTATGTAACAGCTGGAAAAGAAAAAGACGAGCTAGTAAAAGCATTAATTGATTTGAAGAATAAGAATTTTTTTTTGTCGGAATAAGAAAATATATTAGCTGAGCCTGAGAGTATTGATTTTTTTGTCACAGTATTGAC